AACACATATTCCACCTGCTGTTGCTGTTGAATCTCCCACTAACATGACAGTAACACCTACACGAAGTGCATCTAAAGTAGTAAAAATCTGCTTCTCTTGTCTCTGCAATTCTCTTGGGATACCCTTTCTGCTTGTCAACATGTTCGTATAGTTTACCGAGGATTTAGTTTCCACAATAAAACGATCACTCGTGTAATTCGTGTTTGAGGTATATAAGAGTTGTCAAGTCTACCATTTGAAGCTAGTGTAGGACTTGTAACTAGTTTACAGAGGATTTTGTTTTGTTTCTTGTATCAAGTCTACCATTTTCATTTTCCACAGCGTACAGTTCTTTTACTTCTTTCCAACAAAAGTAGCTTTAAGACTGTAGATTAAAAATAGGATGGTGCCGCTTGCCTGACCCACTCACGTGCTCAGCCACACCACTCCATCCAAAGAACATTACATCTATGCATTAAATTGTTCCCCATGCCAGGCATGCTGCTCATTAGGCAGCAAACTTGCTCAGATTCGTTACCATAAGCAGCGTATGTATTGCATGCAAGACTTTCAATTTGGAAATTTGATGATCCTCACCTGTTGTATGGAGAGGTCATGTTCCTTCCAGCCACGTCTTCGGTAGAAATTAGATGTAATTAGTCATAACTCCAATAATTTTTTCGCGAGATTGTTGTGCTCATAAGGTCCAAAAGTGAGACAACCCAAATCCCTTGCACCAATATTGATAAATTACCACAGGAAGTGATAAGGATTGAGGAGCTCAAGGGCGGCAAAGTTATGTGGGTTAGGAGTTAGGACCAAAATGTTTATTGAATACTCTAATGGCTTTTTTTTTTGTTTCAATGTGAATCAAAGTTTTTAGGTCCATTTCTAGGCCCATCTAGGAATGGACTGGGCCTAGTAGTGGACTCGGGCCGGTTCGGGCCCGGTTCGGGCCTGGGCCCGGCCGGGCCTCGGTTCTAGGAAGGCAGGCCCGGAACCGGCCCGGATAACCCCGGGTCCGGTTCGGTTCGGGTCACCCGCCCGGTTCACGGGCCGGGCCTATTTAAATTTTTTTTTTAATTATTATATAATTAGAATAAATCTTATTACAATTACAATATATTATATTCGAATTGAAGTATATTTATTTCAAATAAGAAGTACAATTGAGAATTAGGATGAATTTAAAAAATGTAATACATTTTGTAATAAAAAATCAATCGGACTCTCCGCCTTCGGTTGTTTCCTCCGTAAAGTGGCGGGAGGGAGTGATGGTAATTTCTTGAGTTCTTCGTTGGGCCTTCAACCAATCGTGAAAGCAAACTAGTGTCTCAAGAGAGCTCGGGCTCAACCTCGTTCTAAAATCGGTTAGGACGTTGCCGGCCGCACTGAATTCTTGTTCCACGGCAACGGTTGATATCGGCATTGCTAGTACTTGCTTAGCCATCTTTGATAAAATCGGGAATGTTCTTTCATTTTCCTTCCACCACTTAAGAACGTCAAAGTCATCACCAACTTCATAATCAACATTCAATGTTAGATACAAAGAAAGCTCGTTACCTGAGCTTTGTTCAGTAGCGGGAGTTGCTCTACTTTTTTTCAAAAGAGAACCAAAAGCGGATTTTAAAAGTGATTTTCCTTTAGATGAAGAAGATGTTCGTTGCATGGGAGGGGGTGCATTACCATATTGTGCATGAAATTCATTATACAATTGATGAAATAAATTACTAACCTCGTTGAATTCTTGTTTAGGGTCGATGGGATTATCATCGAACTCTTGAGTTGGAAAAAAAGAAGCATAATAGTAATCTATACAATTTGCCAAGTAAGGAAGTTTATAACGAGGATCAAGAACAAATGCATTACCATATATATGCGGAATATGTGAATAATATTTTAAAAACTTTTGTTTCATGAAATCACAAAAATAACTAACGTAAGTGGCGTCGGAAAATTCACAAAAAGCGCCGGCGAGATTAACAGCTTCAACGAAAAATTCGTTTGCGGTAGGTTTATAAACATGACTAAAAGTTAGAGTTGCGTTATTAAAATATGCCAAAACATTAACAATTTTTTCACAAGTGTCGATGTCAGCCGGGTTTATAATATAGTTACAAGTTTGTCTTAAAAAAGCTGGGAAATGATCTTTATATCTAACAAGTACTTGAATTAAATTATAAGTACTATTCCAACGAATAGACAAATCTTTAGGAAAAGCACAATAATTCACACGTCTATCCTTCAAATATTGCCGCCATTGCATTTTTAGTGGAGTGTTAGCCCAAATCCATTTAATTCCCCCCTTCACTACCTCCAAAGCATTTCCTAATGCCGCTAAGCCATCTTGTACACACAAATTTAGAATATGACATGCACAACGTTGATGAAAAAATCTACACATCAATGTAGAAGCACCACACAATTCACGTAATCTAGGTATAGCAGCAGTATTATTACTAGCATTATCAAAACCTACAGCAAACACCTTATCAATCAAATTATACTCAATTAAAATACGTTCAATGAGAATATAAATATTATCAGCAGTGTGACGATCATTGAATTCACGAAAAGCAAGAACACGTTTATGCATATTCCAATCATCATCAATATAATGTGCAGTTAGACCCAAATAATATAAATGATGATAAGTATCCTCCCATATATCGCTACAAATACTAACACGTCCATCAAAGTTTGCGAAAAATATTTGTAATTTTTCTTTTTCCAAGTTATATTGCCTTATAACTTCTTTTTTAATCGTTTTGCGACTATAATTTCTAAATTGAGGATTTAAAGTACCTTGATCATAATCTCTTAAAGCAAGACTTTGGGAAAAAATAAAGGGTAAATTTTCTTCAACAATTAAATGAGACATACCAGTCAAATGTTTTTTATCATCATAGGAAAAATTACCAAAGGGTTGAGAATTTGCAAACCTTGATATTTGTGTTTGCTTCCCCTTTCCTTTGTCTATTTTCGCATACTCCACAAAGTGGGCGGACTGAAGATGCCTTTTGAGACTCCCGTATCCGCCAGAAATTCCCAAGCTAAACTCTTTCTTGCAATGATTGCAACTTGCGTACCATTTTTCGGTTTTTTCGTCTTTCCTTTTTGTATAATTGTTTTCAATAATAGCAGATTTAGATTTCTTACCAATTTGGGTTGTGTTGGAGATTACCCACATCTACAGAATGTCTACCACGCTCCATCTTTAAAATTGAACAAATATTAGCAATTAACTAATATGAGAAATGTAAAAATTAACTAGTTTTGTTATTTTAATGAGATATGTAGCAATTAACTAATATGAGAAATGTAAAAATTAACTAGTTTTTTTTACTTTAATGAGATATGTAGCAATTAACTAATATGAGAAATGTAAAATTGTAGCAATTAACTAATTAACTAATATGAGAAATGTAAAAATTAACTAGTTTTTTTTTACTTTAATGAGATATGTAGCAATTAACTAATATGAGAGATGTAAAATTGTAGCAATTAACTAATTAACTAATATGAGAAATGTAAAAATGTAGCAATTAACTAATTAACTAATATGAGAAATGTAAAAATTAACTAGTTTTTTTTACTTTAATGAGATATGTAGCAATTAACTAATATGAGAGATGTAAAATTGTAGCAATTAACTAATTAACTAATATGAGAAATGTAAAAATGTAGCAATTAACTAATTAACTAATATGAGAAATGTAACAATTAAGTAGTTTAACTAATATTAATATGACAAATGAAACAATTAACTTTAACTACTTTAACTAATATTAATATGACAAATGAAACAATTAAGTAATTAAATAGATAAACGAGAAGTGTATATATAAATCAAATGTATAACTATATATAGTATATATAAATATATAATGTGTAAATATATTATAAGTAATATATAATATAATGTATAACTATATATAGTATATATAAATATATAATGTGTAAATATATTATAAGTAATATATAATATAATGTATAACAATATATAGTATATAATATAATGCGTAAAGAATTATAATATGAATGTGTATAAGTATATATTTATAAGTAGATAATTAATATTATAATATATAAGTAGATATAATAATTATATAAATTATATATATGTAGAAAGAATTTGGAGAAGATGAAGAATGAAGATGATTGAATATGAGAGATTAAGAGAATAGAGAATTTAGATTTTAGAGAGTAGGAAGAGTTGTAGAAGAAGAGGTGTAAAAAATGTATAGAAAATAGGAGTATAAATAGGTTTTTTTTTGTATACCCCACCCCCACCCCCACCCCACCCCCCCCTAACCCCCCAGACCCCCCCTCCTATGCTCCCAACGGCTATAGAGCCGTTTGGGAGGTCTCCCAACGGCTAGTAGAGCCTTCAAATTTTTTTTTAATTTTTTTTTTTGTGATCGTTGAGGCCCGGACCGGGCCCGGACCGGCCGGGCCGGTTCACCAAATTATAAGCCCGGGCCCGAACCGCTACATGACCGGGCCGGGTGGCCCGAACCGTGACCTAACCGACAAACCGGGTCGGTCCGGGCCCGCACAGTAGCGGGCCGGTCCGATTCCGGGCCGGTTGGCCCGGCCCGAGTCCACCACTAACTGGGCCGGTTCAGACCAACCCGGTACCCGGCCTGAAATGCTACTGTGCGGTACCGGCCCGGCCCGGCCGACCGGGACCGGGCTTTAGGGCCCGAACCGGGGGTCAAATGGGGTGGGCTTCAGGACGTTGTTTTAGTGGACCGGGCCGGGTCAATTTTTTGTAGTTTTTGTTCATTGGGCCGCTGCTGGGTGGGTTGTCCTGGGTGTTTTGGCAGGGGTGGGGGTAGAAATAAATTAGAAAAGACTATTTTTTAAAAAAAAAATTGACCCGACCCGACCCGGGCCCGGTTCAAACTCAGGTCGGTACCGGGCTTTCAGCCCAAATCCCCAATCCCACCCAATCCCGGCCCGAACCCGGTCCATGTCTAGGCCCACCTCATTTGTTTACCATTTTAACATGAACTTAGGTATTTCATCAAAAGCAAAATATATTAAGGTGCATTTTTGAGTATCATCTTGCAGAAATGGAAGATATTCATTCAAAAGCAAAGCATCTTAACTAGAGAACACGATCAAACAGAGAACAAAGTTCAAGGCCTCCCCATCTTGGCACAATAGTTCTACAAGAACATTTTTATAGCAATACTGAATCAAAAAAGATATTTAAAATGTTAAAAGTGCTGCAACACTCCATGACAACTTCATCTCGAACTCTAACATTGTTGAGACTGTTACAAAGCAGATTCACCACCTAATAACTTAGGCAGACCCAGACGTGGGGTCCTGATCATCCCTGATTGATTCACGCCACGCATACTCCCTAGCCCCATTCTGGTCAACAATTTTTATCACGAAATTTGGTGGGGCCATAACCAACCTAGACCGAATCTCCACTATGCACTTGTCTGCCAAATCAATGGCTTCCTCGACTGTCATGTCCTTCCTGTAGTGCCTATCCATCATGGCAAGTGAGAAATAGGATCCGTAGCCAAATGCTGCCTTGTCAACTTTGTGCATAGTTGCAATGTAATCAATGTAGTATAGTGAAGGACCAGTCTCCTTATCGTAGCCAGCAAGGATGATGTTCACAAAATATGGATTCTGAAGGAAAAAAATAAATTGAAATTAAAAAATGCCACTTTCAGCAGTTAGTGTCAAGGTAAATATAAGCAACTATTCAACAACTTAATTAGTTAAATAAGGGGGTTCCTTCCCACATCATAGAGTTTAAATGAAAATCTGGGCTTCAGCTTTCAAGATCTATCCCACAAGAGAGAAGGCAAATAAAAGAAGAAGAACTTGAAGATTGTTACTTAGAGAATTTGTAGGCCTTCCAGCCTCACTCTCTTCAGTTTAATACTCCCACCATGCCCTAATACAAATATAAATATAAATATAGTAATACTCCCACTTGTATGTAATTGCACAGGGATATAAATATAGTTGTTAAGTTAGTTGGAGTATGAAATACAAAAGTTGATTACAATTTACAATAACCAAAACTATTGGCAATACGCTTTTATTAATCTCAACTAACGATTATGTTTGTATAATCCCAAGTGATAGCTATAAGATCTGTTTTCCAACATTAGTCCTGCATGACCAGTAACATGTTTAAAAATGAAAACTTAATTTAAGCATAATCTTCTTTAATTAATCCCGAAAAGAAATATTTGGTTAGTGGAGGAGTAGCTCTGTTCAAAACTAGAGAAGGGATGCTCAGCAAGGGAATAATTTGAAACTCTGGGAGTAGATATGGAGATTCTTGTGAAATCAGAGATTCTTCATTTCTACCTTCCTCAGATCGTCCCACGTTCTAATGGACAAATAATGAGTAGCCATAGTAAGGCATATGATGAGCCTATGGACGTAACTATTGACATGCATGGTTTAAATCCAATTGAAACCACTTGGCAAGTGGCAACAGCAATCACATTTCAGGTATAGCCACTGTTACTCATATCCATCAATACAGTCCTTAGTATGGTCAATAGAAGAAGATCTAAAACCTTCTTTAATACCCTTAGCTCAACATTCAAATACAGCTTATCCTCAGTAAGGCATAAAATTAGATGCAATTTATTCAATTCATCATATTTTCCATGAAGTCTGCATTAAGAACCTGTTGATGCCCATTTGGATTTGTAAACAATACTCATTATATTCTGAAGTAGGTGTCCATCAACACAAAAATATGGTTCTAAGGGTGATAATTCGTGCCCGCAAACTGACACACATACCTATACTGAACTTTAGGTATTAAGAGTAACAAATCGGAAATGAACAGAAATGGCGAACGACAACTAACTGATTTTACTATGCTGAATTGTACTGGAATGCCAAATGACCACTAGTTTATGAAAAGCATGTGTTTAGTTAATGTGAACTGATTTAAGAATGTAGTGTAACGTGTAAACTAATATAACAATGGAAGGAGTCGTTAAATATTAGGTCTTTTAAGTGACCAACAGCTTTTGAACATACAATGGACATTGATCACAAAAGGGGGTTACATTTCAGAGCAAATTTGAGGTCAAACTGTGATATAAAACCTACCCCTGATTCAGATTTAAACCCTCTATCAACAATTCCATAAAAATCAAATTAATTTTGTAAACGATATAGCAATTGATGAAACCCTAATGTATAATTAGGTTCAGACCTTCCGCAAGGCAGTGGCAAGTTCGCCCCGAGTGAAGTTTGCTGCAGCCGAAGTAGTCAGAGGAATTCCGTTTCTGAACTGATAGAGGGACACGTTCTTCTGGATATACTCAGTAAATTGAATTCTGACCATTCAGAACCCCAAAACATAAGAAATTAATCGCAAATAATATAGACAGCCAAGATGCAATCATCAATATAGATACCTATCTCCAGCTTCACCGCTAGCGCCCATGAGCTTGTGGGAATCGAGGATCATGATTTTGTCCTCGTTGGATTTGTGGACGAGGATGCTGTGCACGGCGGAGGTGTCGGCGACCACCAGTGCGAATCCGTTTCCGACAAGTCCGAATACGCACTCCATTGTTTTCTCCTTCTACTATCAGATCTCTTCCGATTGTCTTTCGTTTACTTCTCCTCCTAACTCTGGATGGTTCTTTTTGTATAAATCCGTGAACCAGAACTTGAAGGCGTCTTGGAGAACAAGCATATACTAACCCGGAACTCAGCAAGGCTTTTTCTTCTTTTTACTTTTCAAGGAAGTAATTGTTTTTTACTTTATAACTTCTCAAATAAAAAATTGTTTACAAAAATGTGACTAGTTATTAGAATAATAGTTATTTCCGTTAAATTTTTAAGCTTAACTTATTATGACGTTGTATTGTAGTAACTATTAATCATATTTGTTTAAATAAATTTCAAAAAAAGATTTTTAATTTGGAAGAGCTAGAAATATTGGTTTACCTTTTTATGTGCACATTTCGTTAATATATTATAAATGAAATAATATTCGTATTGTTTTTCATATACCACAAAATTGATATAACCCAATCATTTTAATTATAATTTCGATTAATTCAGATAATTTTAAGTTTCAAAGGGCTTTTGGGCTCTCAAGTTTGAAAATAGAGGACAGTAATAAATGTGGGGGGCTTGTTAAGCAGGTGCAACAAAGATATCTCGTTTTTATTTCAGGCCCATGACCCAGATTACATGGTGGGTTTGAGTCTTGTTCAGTTGTTCTAATGTGGACTATGTGGTTGCTGGTCCATATAAGAAAGTCATTTGATATGCGATTTCAACTATTCACTACTCCTATTTTAAGTTCACCCTTTTCAAACAAACTAGCTCACTACCTCACCATTCGCACGAGAAAAACGGTTGGTATATGTACTTCTATTCATGATCTAATTAAATATCAATATAGATTTTTCTTACAAATTACATCATTTAAAAAATGAACTACAATAAGTGAATATATAAAAGCATAAATTCATACAACAAGTATTCTAAAAGCACTTGTAATATATATTTTTTCTAATCACAATCCTACGTATATATTCACGATCCTACGTATATATTTTTTCTTCAAATTTTTTTAGTGTAAGCTTGTCCATTTTTTAATCTCTAATCTGCCCTATAATTTTAATCGTAATATAATTACTTTTCATCCAAATTTAATTCAAAATTTCCAATATGCCCCAAAACATGACTTTTAAATGGATTTAATATTTCATCTGCATGAGTAAAAGATAGACAGATAATATCACACTTCACAACAAACGTAGCATCTTTTTACTTGGGGTTATTTAAGTTCCAGATCATATCAGATCATATCAGATTTAAATAGAGCTTGTTAGACCGGCTCAGATATTAACAAAGCAGACATCTACAACAAAATATTGTACCCCACGATGTACAAAATCATTACTTTTCGATGCTTCCCGGGATCAACTCTCTAGTATTATTGCTTTAATTTAGTCTTTGATAATATATATATATGGAGCGATTCCGGTAAGAACATATCTTAGGAGAGAAATGAGAACAAATCTGGACCGTTGGATTGAATTATGTGAAACAGAATTGTGCATTTGGTGAAACCGAAATGTGCATTAGATGATATTGAAAATGTGCAGAATTAAAATTTAAACTCACATGTGCATTAGGTGAAACTGAAATGTGCAGAATAAAAGGTACAAAAATAACATCACATCGTACCTTTTATTCTGTACATTTTAGTTTCATCTGGTGCACATTTCCAATTCACCTAATGCACAATTTAGCTTCACATAATGACATTACATTGTACCATTTGTGCTGCACATTTCAATTTCACCTAATACACATTACAGCTTCATCTAATGCACAATGAATTTCACATAAAGCAAATCTAACGGTCCAAATTCATTCTCATTTTTCTCATAAGATCATGTTCTTATTTGAACCAAGCCCTATATATATATATATATATATATATATATATATATATATATATATATATATATATATATATATATATATATACTCCCTCCGTCCCAAAATTATTGCCCCGTTTGGTTTTTCACACAGATTAAGAAAATGGCACTGTAGCGACACTGTTTGGCACTGTAGCGACACTGTTTTGCACTGGTTGACACTGTTTGGTATAGATTTTTTTACCAAATAAAGAAGTTTTAAAAACGGGACAATTATTTCGGGACGGACCGAAAAGGAAAGCGGGACAATAATTTTGGGACGGAGGGAGTATATATATATATATGGAAGAGATCACATACAAACACTTCTCCCCATACAAAATGCAAATCAATTTCGTGCGTCCGATTTAGGCAAATCAATGGCCCAAAACAGGTTCCTCACCGTTACGTTTCATGAGCTGCGAAGGAGGCGAACGGGTATTTTAAAACCCATTTAGTAATTAAGGATAAAGATGCCATTTGATTTTTTTTAAATGGAACCGCCATAATACGGAAAAGGAAGGAAATCCCTCTTGCGCAAAATCCCCACTTAGATTTGAACTGTCCATGTATAGCAAATCAAAAAAAGGAAAGATGCAGAGGTTGTTTAATGCTCCAACTAGCCAAGGTCTAAGAAGCCGGGATATTTCCTTGAGAGCGGCGAAAGCTTCAGCGTAGACGAAGAACGTCGTTTGTGAAGATCAACGACCGGTGAAATTCCATTTGCGCAAATGGCTTCAGTTCAAGAAGAACATGCTTTGTGACAAGCTGCTTTGGCGTGCGAAGAAGGTAGTTGTGTTGTTTAGATTAATCTGTTTGCATGGACGATTTTGTATGTTAGATGCACAAAGAGGAATGTGTGCATGCATTTGTGATGAACTTCATATTTAATGTGTTTTTGTTGTTGTTGAATTTAGTAATGTGTAATATATAATTACTAATATGGAGATGAATTTGAGGGAAAAGTGCATTTTGCACCGAGAATGTTTGTTTGTGTGTTCGTGGTTGGTGAGTGTTCCTGATTAGATTAAGTATTGTGCAAAATAGATTACGTAAAGGTGCAATAAATTAGAATAATGTTAATATCAATGTTGTTTTTCGATGAACTTCATATTTAATGTGTGCGAAATAGGAATGTGTGCATGCATTTGTGATGAACTTCATATTTAATGTGTTTTTGTTGTTGTTGAATTTAGTAATGTGTAATATATAATTACTAATATGGAGATGAATTTGAGGGAAAAGTGCATTTTGCACCGAGAATGTTTGTTTGTGTGTTCGTGGTTGGTGAGTGTTCCGGATTAGATTAAGTATTGTGCAAAATAGATTACGTAAAGGTGCAATAGATTAGAGTAATGTTAGTATCAACGACAGCGGGGACAGCGGTATTAACTACAGTAGTACGGCCATTATTCTTATACCCTGCTCTACTACATAACAAATAATTCAACTTAGGATGACCATCTTTGGCCTTCGTTAATGTATGCTTACGAACCGTGAAACCCACTTCAGCTGCATACACTTTGTAAAATTCAATGCCAACTTCTAGATCAGGAAAGAGCATGCCAACGAATGGTTTCTTATCAGGTTGACATTCAGAAGTCCAATACTTTGTAGAACCCAGAGAAATTTCTAAATTACATTTCACACCTATATAAAAGAAATAACACCCAAAAAAATATAAAATCTTCTATAAGAAAAAATGGATAACAATAAACCTCTTTGAATTCGAAGTGCAAAGATAAGAAAATAACTTGGAATAGCAAGTCATCAACCGGTCAGGGACCATTGAATGAAGATGAGGTGCAAAGGTTGGATTAATCCTGAATAATCAAAAGGTGGGACTATTGTAAGAAGACAGCTAAAAGGTTGGATTATTAGTTTTCATTATGCCTTTTTTTAAATAGCTATTTGATGCGGTTCAGAACCGCAGCAATAAGTCAATTTTGTTTTCAATATCTATTTGATGCGGTTCTGAACCGCAGCAAATACTTTTTCTACAATTTGCTGCTCTGCCAATTCTTGCAGTTCAAAACCGCAGCAAATAGCCAAAAATGATCACAGCAAATAGCTATTTTTCTAGTAGTGGATTACACCATTCCTCCTGAAACAAAGGGCACTTTTCAGAAGTGCCTCTCAAGTAGCGCAACAGCCACTTGACTCTTTCTCAATGTTCCTTCCCCGGATTTGACATGAACCTGCTAACAACTCCCACTTCATGAGCAATGTATGTCCTTGTTGACACCATATCATACATCAAACTACCAACTGCTGATGCATAAGGAACTTTAGTCATTTCTTCCTTGTCTTCATCACTCTTAGGAGACTGCTTCTTGGAGAGTTTCAAATGACTCCCTAACGGTGTACTCCTTGGTTTGGCATCCGTCATTCTGAACTTCTCAAGCACCTTCTGAATGTACTTCTGCTATGAAAGCTGTAAAGTACCTTCCACCCTGTCTCTGACTATGCTCATCCCAAGAATCTGTCTCGCTTCCCCTAAATTCTTCATCTCAAACTCTTCGGACAACTTCTTCTTTAGTTTGTTGATCTCCTGCATGTTTGATCCAGCCACCAACATGTCATCAACATACAAAAGAAAAATAATGTATGATGACTTGAATTTCTTCAAGTAACAGCAATGGTCCATCTTGTATCTAGTGTACTCATTCCATTGCATAAAATTGTCAAACTTCAAGTACCACTGTCTAGGAGCTTGCTTTAGTCCGTATAGACTTTTCTTGAGTTTGCACACAAACTTCTCCTTACCACTCACTGGGAAACCTACTAGTTGAGACATGTAAAAATCTTCTTCAAGGTTTCCATGAAGAAAGGCAGTCTTCACATCCAGCTGCTCCAAATGCAAATTTTCAGCGGGAGTGATACCAAGGATCAACCTGATAGTAGTCATCTTCACAACCGGAGAGAATATTTCATTGTAGTCAACCCCCTTCTTCTGTTGGAACCCTTTAACCACTAGACTGGCCTTGTATCCTTTGCTCTCATCTGCTTCATCTTTGATTCTGAACACCCACTTGTTCTCCAAAGCTTTCTTTCCCGGTGGTAGCTTGACTAAGGACCAAGTTTGGTTCTTGTCAAGTGAATCTAACTCATCCTCCATTGACTTCTTCCACTGTATGGAATCTTTCACTGTCAATGCCTATGAGTAAGATTCTGGCTCTCCATTCTCGATCAGCAACAGGTAATTTGCTGAAGGAGAATACCTGTTAGGAGGACTTTGACTTCTAGTAGATTGTCTGAAATGTGGAGTTGTTGGCTCATGCTCAACTTCCT